CTGGAAGTTTCCAGAACACGGCCACACAGCCCGGAAGACCCACACCAGCCATCGTATTCCAGCCGTGAAAGTCTTTAGACTTCCTCTCTCATCTTAAAATAGAAGTGAGCCTTAGGGGGAAAAAGTGTCCATGCCCCCCTACACACTATCTATAATGTATGTCTTATGCTTAATCTCTCCATCTCTTATTATTTTATATTAAAAGTATATTTATAATGCATTAACAGAATCTAGAACTGTTACTAGAATATGAAGATTTCTTGCAGTAGGTCCAAGTTAGTAACATTTTGGACATTTGCTGATTATATTTCATTTGTGACATAAAGGGGGAAACAAGGCTGATCTACAAAGGATTTGTATTGTAAAATTTTCTCTTAATGCTACAGATAGAGATGGAAATGTTATATTTTAATGCTCCCTTATGAAAAAGTTTTCATGCTCATAAACAAAATACAGAAAATCATTTTAGGCTTTCCAAGATGCTAGTTTTGTCTATTAATAGTATATTCCTTTAAATGTGTATTTGCATCAGTTTTATTCTTTTTTCTTTGTTTTTGAAATTATAATAATAAATGGAGGGTAGGAGGGAGAAATATTTAGAAATTTTGCTAGGGGAATATTTAAATATTTATTTTTCAGATTTTTAACACACTTTTTCTCATTAAAAACAAATGCAGAACTAGATGATTTGGGAATCTTCCTGTGCCCCCCATATACTCCTCTGCCCCCTATCCCCCCCCCATATCCTACACACACTAAAATCTGAAATTGCATAGTACAGAATTGTATCACATGATTCTTCTGCATATTTAGATCCAGTTTCAGGCAGACTTGCATTGAAGATACTGTATAATTACTGGCCACAGAGGAAAGAAGATAGTTAGGAGGCACATCAAACCAAATGCCAAAGATTGCTCTTTTATCAGTGAATTTGATCCATATAATTAAAATTGTTATTGTTCATTTTTATTTTTCTTGCAACTGAATACATGCAAATAGATCTTGTTGCATTTGGACAGTTGTATATTGCTCTACATGAACCATTTTTCTGCAAATACAAACCGTTTGTTGCTGTCACTCACAGTCAAAGCAGGAAGCAATGATTAACTCTGGTTTCCTGTTTTCTTTCATTTGGGAAATAATGATTAATATCATTGGACTGTGGAAATTGATTAGAATCCTGGCTTGCTTTGAAGCAAGTTATCATTCTTTCTCATTGCACATGATATGGAGAACTCTGATCAAGTAGACATGTCCTTATTTAATCACAGTTTGTGCAAAGGGGCACTGTGAATCTCCAAAAGGCCTGTGCTTAATATACAATGATTGGTTTTTTGAGATAAAAGAAAGGGGAGATAAAGAGAAAAACTGTTACCAGAATTAGTTAATAGAATCAAGGGCTCTGGATTCTATTCCTTTATTTCTGTTCTGTTTTATGGGAATGAGAATATAAATCAATACATTTAAAATAACCCAGTCTAATTCTATGGATTAGCAATTGGAATAGTTTAGGGTATACTGAGAGCAAGAACAGGGCTGATTTAGATATAATCTGCTGTATTTTTTTCATTGGTGAAAGCATGGGCTGTTAAGCATGGGAATTTTCTATATTATAGCAACAAGAAAACCAGATACTTTAATCTCTTCTTGTTCCCTTGTTGGCAAGATAAACTTTGGAATATTGAAGTGGATAATTTTGTAATCTATTTTCAATCTGTATTTTTAAATGTTTTAAAAAATATTATAATATGGTTATTTGATTTCAACATAAATTTAATATTGTCATCATGAAGAAGTTGCTAGTTATATTAACTAGATACGTTTTAATGAGTGAATTATTGCTAAGAGAATATATAATGAGAATTCAGTAGTATCCCAGCATGATTTCTTTGTACTAGATCTGGCTTGTAGGGGATAAAATTTTTGGATGTATTTTAATTTCATAGCAACTGCAGATTGCTGGTTATATAAAAGAACTGGTTTATATTTGTGAATATGATCCATAGGCTGTCATAAACAGATAGCTGGAGCATGATTTCATTTTTATCTAAACATGGGCACTTTTGCATAGCATGTTTTATGGTTAACATGTTAACATTGAATGTGAAATTATGTGGGCAACTACCACAGGAGATGTTGCTGGTCCTGTCTTATTTAATATCCCTTGTAAATTCCTGGGAAGTTAATTTTTTCAAAATTAAGGTAGTTCAGAAGAAGTGTATGTGGTGTGGTCATCCTGATTGGGATTGGACTACCACATTGCTTGAAATTTATTACAAGAGTTTTGTTTTGTTAATTCTGCTCTCATGTTGCTTTTCTTGGCCATTTAGCAACTGAAAAAGTACTTGTGATATGGCCCTCAGTGAGCAGATGTGCAGGATAATCATAAACTGCTGCAGTAGAATGCAAGCAAAGGTTTTATTAACAGTCTGTGGTGTGTTCTATGAGTAATTCAGGCACAGTTAATGCTAAGCTACAACCAATATAGTTTAGAGATATGCTTCCTGTCAGAGCTTCATGCTAGGCAAAGCAATAAATCTCTCTCTAGGAGTGCAAATGCATAGGCATGAGCTTAGCAGTGGAAGATTCAAGGACAAGGCTCAGAGAGATAAGTTGCTTTTACTGCAAATGTAAAAGAAAGTCTTAAAATGAGGAAATAGTACAGAAAGTAGGGATCTAATAGTTTTATGTCAATTCCAGGGTCTAACTCTTGCATTTCTTTCTCCTACCCTTACACAGTAATGGTCTTTTTGCTGCCTGTTTCTCATCCTTTGAGGTTGAAGGCACCTACACAGTTTTTTCTGTAATGTTCTTCTCTGGTCTCGGACACTTTATTTTCAACCTTGCCAGCTTTATCCCTCAAACTTCTTATCTAATCACAAATAATAATAGTAATGGGGATAAGTGGATAAAAATGCCAAATCCAGTCTAAACATCTGGCTGACTGCGTGACCAACCATAATAATAATAACAACAATAATAAAGTTGTATGCCACCCGACACTCAACGAATCTGGGTGGCTCACAACAATCACACAAAGAAATTACAATAAAATCAATGAAAGATGAAAGATAAAGATAAAAGATGGCAAGCACAATGAAGCAAGGGATCTCACTGTCCCTTGCCAAAGGCCTGGGTGAAGAGCCAAATCTTCACAGTTCTTCTAAACAATAGCGGCTCAATTCTAAACTATTTGTTCTTCCTACATTTTGAGAACTATTTCTGGCACGCTGTTACTTTTAAACAGTTAATCAAGTCTACAGGAATATACAGTGGGGCAAAAAAGTATTTAGTCAGCCACCAATTGTGCAAGTTCTCCCACTTAAAAAGATGAGAGAGGCC